ACAGAGTCAAGGTTGTTGAAGCTTTGAACAGTTTGGGAAAAAAAACCCGTAGCTGCTTTTTCATCGTTCAAGGAGTTAAAAGAAAGGGTTTTCTCACAATGTTTATTCACAAGTTTCCATTGTTAGAATCTTGTGTCCTCGGGGTATGGATAGGAAATTTGATTCTGTATTGCTGGAACTTAATAGGAAAGGGAGAGGTTTGGATTTTGAAATTGTGGATATTTTTCTGAGCTCTGGTTGACGGGGTTGAGAGTGAGTGTTGGAATTTTCTCGTTCGAGTGTCGGATGCATTGGTTAAGGTTGGGATGTTTGACGAGGCTATTGATGTTCCTTTTCAAAATAGTAAGGTCCGTGGATTCGTTCCACGGATATGGTCATCTTCCTTTCTCACGAACTTGTTGATTGAGTGTAGGATAGTGGAGATGGTTGTCGCCGCTTATCAGCATTTACAGAGCATTGATTCGAGCCCAAATGATTATAAATATACCCTTGCTATTGAGGCATTACGTGTGAGAGGCAGTTCGGAGGAAGCGGTTGATGTCTTTTGGGAGATACGGGAACCTGGAGTGACTCCAAATGCTTTTGCTCACCCAACATATATTGAAGGTCTTTGCACGCATCAGGGGTTAGATCCAGGCTGTAAGATGCTCCAGGGACTAACAAGAGTGAAGATTCCAATAGACGTTTATGTTTACACGACTGTGATTTGTGGCTTCTGTAATGAAATGAAATTGAAAAGGTAGAGAATGTCTTGCTTGACATGGAAAAACAAGGCTTTGTACCAAATGTGTATATCTATGGTGCATTGATGTACGAAATTTCCAAGGCCAGGGATTTACATAAAATGCTGTTTCTTCATGGTGAAATGGAGTAAAAAAGCATCAAAACAAACTGTGTGATTCTGAGCTCAACTCTTCAAAGATTGCTTTGTATGGTTGAGGCTTCTAAAGTGGTCAGTCAATTTAATAGATTCAAGGAGACGGGAATAAAACTTGAAGAAACTTACTATAATATAGTCATGAATGCTTTGTGCAAACTGGGAGAAATGGACGGAGCTGTGGCATTGCTTATTGAGATGAAGGGTAGACGGATGATTCCTGACATTGTCAGCTACACAACTTTGATTCACGGTTACTGCCTTGAAGGTAAACTTAATGATGCCTTAAGTTTATTTCATGAAATGAAAATGAATGGGCGTAAGCCTGATGTTGTTGCTTATAACGTTCTAGTTGGTGGATTTTCTAAAAACGGCGTTGTACAGAAGGTGTGTAGCCTTCTGAATGACATGGAGACTTGGGGTTTGAAACCTAACACTGTCACACACAATACAATCATTGAAGGCTTATGTATAGGGGGTAAGGTGGAGGATGCTGAAGCTTTTTTTGATAATCTGGAAGAGAAGTGCTTGGGAAATTACAGTGCCATGGTCAATGGTTACTGTGAGGCAAACTGTTGTATATATTGAAGAGAAAACAAAACTTTTATGTTGTAGTTGCAGCAGAACACACTTCTTTATTCATTTTCAATATGATTATTTATACAATAAAAAAAAAACAAAATTGTAAGATATTCTCCCAGGATATCTGATTTTTTGTTATATGGAATAAAAATAGCCATTAGACTAGTAACAAGAAACAAACTCTAATACTGTAAACAAACTCAGATTCTGCTGAGATTTTATTTTGCTTCTAGAGTCATTCTTAGTCAACAATTCTCCTCCTTGACTCTGAAACTGCAAACTCCCAACTTCTGTCTCAAATACTCAAACTTGAGCTTAGGAAGTGCTTTTGTTAAGATGTCTGCATGTTGTTCCTCTGTTTTGCAGTAGAACAACTTTACTTCTCTTTCTTGTTGAACTTCTCTTAGAAAGAAAAATTTAATCTTGAAATGTTTTGTTCTGCCATGAAATACTGGATTATTTGAGATCGATATTATAGCTTGGTTGTCCATAAACAGTTGTGTGCTTTCACTTTACTTTAGATTCAAATCTGCCAATAATTTCCTGATCCAAACTACTTGGTTTACAGAGACAGTGGCAGCAACGTATTCAGCTTCTGCTATAGATTGAGCAACAATTTCTTGTTTCTTTGAGCTCCATAAAAAAACACCTGAACCAAAGCTAAAACAATAACCAAAGGTGCTTCTCATGTCATCAATGTTTCCTGCCCAGTCACTATCAGAGTAGCCACGAAGATTGAATTTTCCAACTTGACTGAATTTGATCCCATAATCAGCTGTGCCTTTTATATATCTGAGTATTCTCTTTGCTGCTTTAAAATGAATTTCACTTGCACAATGCATATATCTAGATAATAGACTTACAGCATGCATAATGTCTGGTCTGGTTGCTGTCAAATAAATTAGACAACCTATTAGGCTTTTATATAGCTTTTCATCCACTTTTCCAGCTCCATCTTCCTTGCAGAACCTCTCCTTTTGATTCATTGGTGTCGAAGTTGGCTTGCATTGTTCCATGTTGAACTTCTCGAGAATTTCCTTTGCATATTTGTGCTGACACAAAAATATTTCATTTTGTTTTTGAAATATTTGCATGCCAAGAAAGAATGTCATCCCTCCAAGGTCTGTCATTTCAAAAACAGACTTCATCTCTTCTTTGAACTTGTCAATTTGCTCTCTACAGCTTCCTGTTATCAACAAATCATCAACATAAAGAGATACAACAAGTATCTGTCCTTCAACTCCTTTTACGTAAGGAGTAGATTCACTTAAACTTTTTATAAAGTCTAAGTTTTGCAAGTATCAATCCCGTTGTACCAGCTTCTTGGGGCTTGCTTTAAGCTGTATAAGGCTTTTTTTAGTTGATATACCTGATTCTCTTATCTTGAAACAGAAAAACCTTCAGGTTGTTCAACAAAGATTTCTTCCTCCAAGTAACCATTAAAAAAAGCTGACTTTACATCCATTTGATGTAAAGTCCAGCCTTTTTGTGTAGCAAGTGCCAGCAGCATCCTTATTGTATCCATCCTTGCAACTGGAGCGAATGTTTCAGAAAAATCCACCCCAAATATCTGAGCATATCCCTTGACAACCAGCCTTGCCTTGTATTTATTCACAGAACCATCAGAATTCAATTTGGTCCTAAAAATCCATTTAACTCTTATGACTTTTTTGTGTTGAGGTCTGTCCACCAATTCCCACGTTTGATTCTTTTCAATCATCTTTAGCTCTTCCTTCATTGCATCTAACCATTTCTGATCAGTTGCAGCTTCTTCATAATTTGCAGGTTCTATTGCAGCAACATTGCATCTTTGATAGATGTCAGCAAGAGTTCTGGTTCCTCTCACAGGTATATCATCTATTTCATTCTTCTGATTTTGATCTTCAATCTGCTTTTCATCTTTCCAATCCCAGCTATCAGATTCGAAAAACTGAACATCCCTGCTGATGATTACTTTGTTTCTTTGAGGTATGTAGATTCTGTAGGCTTTTGCAACATCACTGTAGCCTACAAAAATCCCAGCTTCAGCTTTCTTGTCCAGCTTGTTTCTCTTATTTTGAGGAATATAAGAGAAACCTAAACAACCAAATATCTTCAGATTAATTAGCTTTGGTTTGTAGCCAAACCAGGCTTCAAACGGAGTCCTTGTCTGCGGGGCTTTTGTTGGCAATCTATTCAATAAAAATACTGATGTATTAGCTGCCTCAGCCCAGAATTTCTTAGGCAATCCTTTATCATGTAGCAAGCATCTCGTCATCTCCATCATTGTTCTATTTTTTCTTTCCATAACACCATTTTGTTGTGGAGAATATGGTGCTGTTAGTTGGTGTTCAATGCCTGCATCTTCACAAAATCTGTTAAATTTTTCAGAAGTGTATTCAGTTCCATTATCGGATCTAATTACCTGAATTTTGCAATTGCTTTAAGTTTCAATCCATGCTTTGAATTTTCCAAATATGTTGGCAACTTCAGCTTTGAATTTCATAAAATAAATCCAACACATTCTGGAATAATCATCAATAAAGGTAACATAATACTTACTGCCATTTAGAGATGATGTGTTCATTGGTCCTCCAACATCTGTGTGAATTAGTTGCAACTTCTGTGTAGCTCTCCAGGCTTTGCTTTGTTGAAATGGAAGTCTTGACAGCTTTCCATATTGACAGGTAGCACATGCTGGAAGATCTTTTTCTAATTTGGGTAAGCCTTTCACCATGTTGTTCTTTTCCATGAAAAATAATGCTTCATAACGATAATGCCCCATTCTCTTATGCCAAAGCAATGAATTATTGACTTCCTTGTGTACAGCAGCTTGCTCTTCTTTAAAATCCAGCACAAAACTTTTGCCTTTCATTTGAATATTGAAGATTTTTATACCCTCACCATCTTCAATCACACAATTTTTGTCTTCAAACAGCACTTTATAACCTTTGTCCAGCAACTGGGAAACACTTAACAAGTTTTGATTAATTTCAGGAACATATAGTACATCTGAAATTAATTTAAAACCTGAGTGTGTTTCAATGACTACTGTTCCTTTGCCTTCTACTTTCAAGTGAGTTCCATTTCCAATCTTGACTTTGGAAATAATATTTCTATCAAGCTCTGTGAAGAGCTTTCCATCATGAGTCATATGATTTGTACAGCCGCTGGCAATGAGCCAATTTTCTGTGAATTTATTTATGGATAAACATGATACCACAAACAAATGCTCCTCCTGCTGTTGATCATCGGCAACTTTGGCTTCAATTTGTTGTTGTTGAGTCTTGCATATCTTTTCCATGTGCCCTAACTGACCACACTTAAAACAACGTGCATTAGGACTCCACCAGCATTTATTCTGAGGATGATTGTTTTTTTTGCAGTGAGGGCAGGGAGGAAAGCTTTGAATGTTGCTGGTTTTATTGTTTCTGGTGTTGAATGCAGAGCCTCCAAACTTGTTGTTTTGTTTTTTTCTGTTCTTACCATCACGGTTGTTTTGAGACTTGACAAAGAATGCACCCTCTACAGTTCTTTCTTGCCTCATCAGCCTCCTTTGCTCTTATGCTTGTAGTGCATTCAATAACTCTGCCAAGGTAATGCTTGACAGATCTTTAGAATTTTCTAAAGATGAGATTGTTGTCTCAAACTTCTCTGGAATTGTTACTAGAATTTTTTGAACAATTCTAGAATCAGAAAAATCAGTGCCAAGAAGTCTTACATTGTTAACAATGCTGAGAAGTTTGTTAGAATATTCCTTGATTGTTTCTGATTCTTTCATCTTTTGTAACTCAAACTCTCGGATTAAGTTTAGCACCTGCATCCCTTTGATTCTCTCATTTCCTTCGTATTCTCCTTTTAGAAAATCCCAGATTTCCTTTGCTATTTTGAGAGTCATTATTCTGTAAAAAATGGTGGGTGAGACTGCTGCAAATAAAGTTGCTTTTGCTTTCGATGTTCTCTGCTTCTTCTCTTTATGATTTTTGATTTGTACAACTGTTGGATTGTCTGACAGAGTTGGCACTTCATATACTTGTTCAACTGTTTCCCATAGATCATTAGCATCAAAATAGGCTTCCATTCTAACAGCCCATACTTGATAATTGATCCCATCAAATACTGGAGGTGCAACTGCAGTAAATGACATTTCTGAATTCATACTGAATGTGTTATGTTTAGATGAAAAGTATTTGAAGGTTGTATTTAGGCTCTCTCAATCTCACAAGTATTTAAAGGTTGTGTTTAGGATCTCTCAATCTCACAAGTCCCTCAAGAAAATCTGCTCTGATACCAATTTGTTGTATATATTGAAGAGAAAACAAAACTTTTATGTTGTAGTTGCAGCAGAACACACTTCTTTATTTATTTTCAATACGATTATTTATACAATAAAAAAAAAACAGAATTGCAAGATATTCTCCCAGGATATCTGATTTTCTGTTACATGGAATAAAAATAGCCATTAGACTAGTAACAAGAAACAAACTCTAATACCGTAAACAAACTCAGATTCTACTGAGATTTTATTTTGCTTCTAGAGTCATTCTTGGTCAACACAAACCATACATACAAGGCCTTTCAACTATTTGTCAGGCTGTCCAAACAAGGATTTGTAGTGAACCCAGATTCCTGCTTAAAACTACTCTGTACATCTCTGCAAAAAAAGATGTTAAAACGATGATATCGAGAAAGCTGTCTTCTTGTTCAACACAATGTTGGCCATGGAGCAAAATCATGTAAAGTATAGGCATGTTTTGCCATGCAGGAGAAATGGGAAAGGCCCAGTATGTTTTTGATGTTGCGATCACCAGAGGGATAACTCTTGATTTGTTTACTTACACACCGATGATAAATAGTTATCGTAGGGAAAATCATTTGAGGGAGGCCTGTGATCTTTGAACGATATGAAGAAAATAGGGATTCAACCTGATGCTGTCACTTATACTGTTTTTATGGATGGTTGTTCAAAAATAAAGGACACATTAGAGGTGGAGGTTGAGGTTTGGGTGTGGGATCTACAAAAAAAACCTTAAAAAAAAAAGAAAAATTAACTTTTATGATTGAGTTTTGTGTATAATTAAATTGTATCCGACCACAATCTCAACTACAAAAGCTGGAAGAGGGATGTGGATGTAGAGCCTGATGTCATTTGTCACACTGTTTTGATTGACAAGCACTTTAAAATGAACAACATTCAGGATGCTACGAGCCTTTTTAAAGAATATGTTGATAGAGTAATGAAACCCGATGCCATGACATGCACAACTTTTTGTCTGGATACTGTAAAAAGAATAACATTCAGGTTGCCACAAGCCTTTTCAAACAAATTAATGATAGTGGTCTGGAACCTGATAATGTGGCTTACACAACTCTTTTATCTGGATATTGTAGTAGGCTACGACCCTTGTTAACGGAATGAAAGATAAGAGGATACAGCCAGATGGCCATGCAAAGTCCACTACACGTCATCTGATTACCAGAAAACTGAAGTTTCAGTGACGAGCATCTTGGCGGCTGTCGGTGGACAGAGTAAACGTGTCTCGTACATTGTTCCAAGGTACATTTTTTATTTATTTATCACCAATCTTTTCTCTTTTTAATACAATCCTTTTCTTATATTGAGAAATATCTAAACAATATATTTTAGTTTATCATCATGCTCTATGTCAATGTTTTGCTGCAGGCATGAAGGAGGTATGGTTCACCACCAGTTAGACCATTTGTTCTTAGGTAAAAACTGTTGTGCACTTACATACTTTTTATAGTCAGTTCCAACTTTTGCAATGACCGTAAAAGTTACTGGTTTTCTTTTGTGTGTTTTTTTTAAATGAATATAGATATAAATGTTGAAAGAAATGTAGATTTCTTAAACAATGCATAAACATAAAATTAAGAAGGAAAATTCTACAGAATGCATTTGACCAAAACAAAGTTCCTGGTTTTCTCCATGAACCCTGCAGAAAAAAACAAGGTTTGGTTTCCACTGATGTGAAATTTCAATTTTTGAATTTGTTGCTCGACAATTTGCACAAACATGCAGATTTGAACAAGACAGGTATATTGTAAAGGGTGGTTTTGTTTGGGATTTAGGTGTGATTGTTATTGATTTATGGATATTCTGATGATTGAGGAATTGAGACGAGGTGAGGTGGAGAGAGGAGGAGTTGTGTTTAGTCTCTGCTTTAAGCTGGATAGTGAGAGTGGTAGTGGGTACTGTGGTGTACATAGAGGGTTTTCGTTGGAGCAGGAGCTTGAGCTTTATTTCACATGCTCGACTTTGCTTTACAATGGAACAATGCGCAGGCCAGGTTTTGCTGGTGTGATAGGGCCCACAAGCTAATGTTACGCGCTCTGTTCATTATGTTTCTGCCCCTCTAGTTTTATTTGGCATGCGTTTTTCTCTGAAATTTTGCGAGATGTGGCATGTGCAAATGATGTGCAGGTTGGATTTTCACTTTCTGTGGTAATTGTTCTAGTTTGAGGTGTTTGAAATTTTGTTTATGCATGTTATAGCCCTGTGGATGAATTTGTCTTATTTGCTATATATTTCCAAGTGAATCAGGTTGTTGTAAAATCTGTCTGTGTGGTTTAAGCCAAGAACTTGTAATGAGCGATTGTACATGTAATAATATGTTGAAAAGGGGAATGGGAAAGCTTCAAAGTCAGGTTTTGTTGCTGCCATTTTTATAGAAGGACCCTGACATTAATACAAAAATCAGCTCCTGGATTTGTTTTTAATTATTTTTTTGGGATAAAGGAAGAATTTGTTTCTTTCTAACCTTATTTAAATTTTAATTTATTTAAGCAAACTTTAAGAACATAAGAGATGTTTTTTTTTCCACGATCTGTTGTAGAGCAAAAACTCAAGTAGAACTTTAAATGGGACAGTATTCATGATAAGTGCCGTGTTTTGGAGTTATATTCATATTGAATAGTTTTCCTTGTATTTTTCTGTAGCTCTAAACCATTTGTGATCATGGTTCATCAAACTTGGATAGGTATGTCTTGCCTGCTCTGATTTTTGCCAGCCAATCGGTGCCCTTTTAATTTCTAGTCCATTAAAAACTTAATACCACTGATGCTTGTGAAATGTACTGAGATATTGGCTTCAATTTGATGAAAGCCACACAAACCCAAAACTTGTATGATTATTCTACAGGGTCAAGGTGTCTCTTGACTCATGGCTGCTCAGCTCTTTTGCACGGTTATTTGGGCCTTGCATAGTTATCCAGTTCATCATGTGAAGTCTAGACCATACAAACATAGTAGTGTTTGGTTTTGAGGGAAGAGGGGACAAGTAAGAGGAAGTGAAGAGACAACAATGTAATTTTCCTTTGGTGTGGTGTTGAATGTAGAATGTTATTTGTGTTCTGTGAATATATGGGAAGCACCACGTAGTTTACATGGAGTCAAAATTTTGATTGTTGTGATTCTGATGTTTCATATGTTCTTGTTATGAAGAGAATGGATCACATCATCGAACTACATATGTTTAATGTTTACTGGAAAGCAGATCCGGGGTTGCAGCACAACCATTGTGTATGTTCCCTGGTCAGTACCCTAGCTGAACTTAACATTGTTGTTGTGCTTTGGCAATTCTTCATGTTTTCTGAATTGTTCTTTTTAAATGTAGATGCAACATAAACAGATGGCACCTGATCCTGGATATGCTTATATGAGGTTAATCCTACCGAGGATACCTCTAGCATCTTCTCAGTGGCTGGTGTTCTTTTGTCAAGGTTTCTGATATTATTTCAGCTCTCACTTTCTCTGCAGTTTAGTTTAAAAAGTTCATGAATTTGCTGGTGTGAATTGTAGTTGCCTTGCGGATGTTAAACATCATGCAACCTAGCACAAAAGATTTGGTAGGCAACATCCTCCATTTCCTCCAAATTTATATATAACCGATGAAAATGTTTCATACATCATGAATCTTCTGAGACATTTGTGTAACAAGGACATTGCGTATCCAGAATAAGTCACCAGCTGTTGATTGTAATCGCAGGCTGTGCAGGAATATTTTCATAAAAGCTAGTGATATCAATATGAACATGAATATAGTAGTTGTGCAGGATCTGATGCCTTTTGATGATGGCATTGTAGTAGCTGTCACAGAGTAGATAACGATAATATGATTCGAGTCTTGAATCAGGATCTATGGGAAGTTGGATGCGGGCTGATACTAGTGTGGTGTCTGCTTTTCACAAGTTGCTAGTCAGGCAACTCCTCCGAGACTTCCCTATCCGCAGCCCCGCTACTCTACCAACCAAAGATTCTGGGGAGCAATTAAGTAGGAACAGCAGCTGCTCAATCTCTCGTGGATCATTTGAGAGCGAGCAGTGTCAGGATCTCTATGTATATTGTCATTTAATTCGACAAGATTCATTCTTATGGCTCCTGTTCTTAACTTCCCTTTTCTCATATAAAGTGAAAAATAAGGCAGAAGAAACTTGATTCTTTTACACCACACCCTTTGAAAGCTGAATTGCAAAGGTAATGACAAAATTCAAGAAACCTGAGCGCATCATGATCGATCAAATGATGGTGCATTTGTGGATGAACTGTATATAGATGGAAGGCTTGAACTTTTTACTTGGACATTGTATTAACAGTCATCTGAAATCTACCCCATGACTGGATGTTGTTCAGTCATTTTTTTGTCCATCACCGAGCTAGAATTCTGCCAGCAGCAGGGGTGGATCTAGGTACAGGGTTAATGGTGCCATGACACCCCTCGAACTTTGAGAAAGTTTATAGTTTAGTCCTAAAATAGTCCTAAAATTTTGAATTTTCTTCATCTAGACCCTTAAAATTAAGACTTGTTTCTTCGAAAGTACAGAAAAGATCACGTCTTAGCTCTATGGTCTTTCACTTTCATTTTGACACCTTCACGTTTAAAGTTCTAATTCTGCCTTTGACCACCGGTGGCCAAAATGATTTTCTTTTCTCCACCCTTCTGATGTACATCGTCTGAAATTCAAAAGCCTGTTGACACTAATAACTATCAAGGAAGTTTAAAAGTGATTATTATTTTTTAAAAATGTTTTTTTATTTAAAAATATATTAAAATAATATATTTTTTATTTTTTGAAAATTTATTTTTAATATCAACATATTAAAATAATTTAAAAACATAAAAAAAATATT